TTTTTTTAATTTGGACCGTTTCTCGATTTATGCTTGACACCCTTGCACAGAGGCCATGCTGATCTTCCCTCTCTGTATCGTTCCAATTTTAACGGATGTCGTCAAGGACGGAGAATAAACTCATTCTGAATTGCAGTCAGTTGAATAGACAGACCCAAGTTTGGATCCGGATGCTATTGGGGTCCAGTCAGTTGTGACGCAGTGCATTGATGATATCTCGAAGGTCGTCGACCTTTGAAAAAACCCAAAAAAAAAGGAAACCAAAAAAGGCTCCCGTGATGTATGTTATGCTGGGTCAGGAGGGGAGGTGGATGGAGAGGATGGGGACCAGGAAAGTTATCCTGACAAACCTGGACGGTTATTTTTGAGTGAATACTCTCTCTCTCTCCCTGTCTTCTTCTTCTTCAAATTGTTATTATTATGATTATGATGATTATTAATTTATTATTATGATTATATATTATTAATTTATTATTGTTATTAATCTATTATATTATTAGTAATTGGAACCAGGGGTGAAGTCCCACCGCCCAAGTTTAAGTTTAGAAAACGCAATCGGGTGACACCATTTTGACATTAATAAATTTGAAACAAGAAATAAAAAAAACTGAAAAAAAACGCTAGAAACAGCTTTTCTCCTTATTTTTAATTACGTAACTCGGAGAAATGGTCTGGCACAGTCGGAGTGAATGTCTCCGTGGAAAAGGGATACTTCCCGTGGTGAGGGGACAGGAGGTTGCCATTTGTAAAATGGACAGGGACAACATGCATGGCCAGATGCGTTCATTGCCCAAAGAAAGAAAGAGAGTTTGATGCGAGCGAGCCAAACACAGTTGTCAGAGTTACTCCGTTTCAGGGTGTAATGATGTCTAAAAAAGCAAAAAAAAAGAAAGGCACATAAGTTGAGAAATCCACCCCGGGGGTTAGTTTTGTAAACTTGAAATGGTTTCCGTAGGGTAGTTTTGTAAATGGTTTCCTGCCCAAACGGAGAGGGCCAAAGCATACGACAAAACGGATTTCACGTTAAAGAAAAAATCTACAAAACGACCAAATCTAATAGGTTATTCTCCTGTATTTCGGTACCCTTAGATTCTCAATACATCAACGGCAGAGCTCCATCCCACCCACATGCCACACGTGATAGAAAGCTCAGCGTTGAGAAAACTCAACGCTGTAGGTGGGACTTCACCCCCGGACCTTTGGGGACTGACTGTGTGAAGTCCTTTCAAAATGGAAAGGACAAGAAACAAGAATAAAGAAGTGCGGCCGTGTCAGATTTTGAGTTGCAAAAGGGAAAAAAAGATTTAAAAACATGGCATGACTTCCTAAACAGGCTGGAGTTTTTTTGCAGGCGCAGGGCCGTGTAGCACTTTTTCTTCTTCTTCTTCTTCTTCTTCTTCTTCTTCTTCTTCTTCTTGTGAATACATTCTTCTCGTTCGGGTGATTGGATTTACTCTGTGTGTGTGTGTTTGTGTTTTTTTCTTTTTTCTTTTTTGCCTTTTCATTGCGTGTCCCACTGCTGCCCCCTTTGCCCCAGTTCATAGCACTGGTCCTTTACTCTCCTCCTCTGCCACGGCCACCTCCTGGGCTACCACCTCCTCTTTCTCCTCTGCTGCCGCTTCCGATGCATGGTCTATTACTCCTCCTCCAGCTCCTCCTCCTGTATCCTCATGTCTCCTCCTTCTGCCTCTGCCGCTATGTCCGGCACTTCGTGTGCCACCTCCTCCTCGTCCTCTGCCTCCTCTCGTCCGGTGAGGTGTCTGCTGTGATGGCATGTTTGCTGCTTCTCCGCTGCTATCTGCTTGTGACAGGTTTTGAACACTCGACCATCATTTTGTGGATGGTCCTTGCCTTCCAGTATGTGTACAATTATTATTATTATTATTATTATTGGTTGTACAATTCAGCTGCAAAGGTGGTATTTTCTTTTTAACAAATGATTCCCAGCCCCGACTACGCACGCACACACAGAAGGGGGAAAAAAAACAGGAAATAAGAGGACGAAGTTGTTCTCTATATTTTTTCTCTCTCTCTCTTTACTTGAACACAACATCTGGCTTGGTCAATAAGCACCTTAGGCTAGCATGGTGCGACGACCGTATCGGACTGGAAAAATAGCTTGTATGCATTGATGATGAGCGTGTGTTGTGTTCAGAGGAAGTCCTTAGCGGTGGTGGTACACACTCAAGCATAGAAATGTGAGGCGTTGTGTGGGAGGACAAAGGGGAAGGGGGCTGCTTCTCCAGCAAGCCACCAGACTACTTAGGAGGGGGAGGGGTTTTTTTTTTTTTTTTTTTTTTTTTTTTATAGGGACAGAGTTTTAGCAGGTCTAATTGGTGGGGACTAATTTAGAAAGGGAAAAAAAAAAGAAAAAAAAGAGCGAGTTCCAGCATGTCTTCTGTTCGGGTCTTTTTTTGTTTTTTTTTTTTTCTTTGAAAGGAAAATGGCAACGATCTGTATTTCTTCAAACGGAGTTTTTGTTTTGTTTTTTTGTTTTGTTTTTTTGTTTTGTTTTTTCTTGAGAAATCATCATGTGAATTGACTGGCTCTAGGTAATTCAAATTTGCAGTGTTTTACTCATCTGCTTCATCTGTTTCATCTGTTTCATCTGCTTTGTCTGCTTCGTGTGGAGTCCGAACTCAGGTCTGTATTTCAGCAGTTCAGTCCAGGGGGGGTGTACCAACTGAGCTAGGCCAGATGGTTTGGAGTCGATTCTTACTCTTCGGGAAATGTGGTTAAACCACTAGTACCTTTGCCACGTGGGAACATAGCGGGCCTCGGGTGGGCCTCCCACCTTTTCGGATGGCCGAAACGAAACGACCGCCGCCGATCAGATTTATCAATGGCAGCCGTCGTCGAAGGACAATCTTTATGTTTGATTAAACTTATGGTATATTGGAATGAACCCAATTCTCGTGGAAAGCTCGTCAATGTCAAGATACAGAATGTTGCAGCGCAGAATCAATGATTCCAAAGAGCTTACATTAAACCATACTTGTCATCGAAGTATCTCAATGTCTCGTAACCAGAGAAAAAGTTCAGAGGTGAGAGATGAGACTTAGGAGGGTGGAAGAGAGAGTATCCATCATCACTGTAGACAGAGCTCCCTCGCAAGCCCACTTCCTCTTTGGGCACCTCCCTACTCGCCATGTCAGCAAACAGTCTCCCCCGACAAGTTCGGACAGTAAGCAGATTCCAGCACGGCGCCGCCGATCCCCCCGCCACGTCAGCAATCAGCCCGGTGGGAGGATGGCGCAGACGCCTTTCTGAAGACGTAGTACAGCAACGCGCAATGTCGACACGTTCCCCCTCTCAATCGACCATTCTCACAGCCCTGATCCTCCTCCTCCCTGCCCTTACTCCATCGATATCGTAATCAGTGTGGCAAGAGCCACGTCAGCATAATCAAGTGCACAGCTGGCGCCGTAGTCAGAGAATGGCGCCAGCGTAAAGCTTTGGCAGTCCTGCATCGTAGACAGAGAATGGCGCCAGCCTTGGCAGCCCTGCGTCGTCGTACCAGCGTCAACCCAGCATAGAGCCAGCGTCCAAGCCAGCGTCCAAGCCAGCGTCAAGCAGCATGTGCAAGACTGAGTGTCGTCTAGCCCAGCGTCCAAGCCAGCGTCCAAGCCGTCGTCGAGATACAGAATGTCAAAGTGCAGAATCAATGTCTCCAACCTTATAGCGTCGACTCATGTTGACCAGCCTCTGGTCTCTCGGATACGATGGCCCAGATCGTCTGTTAGCCAACGGCCTGGATCTTGTACAGTTGCAGATTTTCACTTGGTGTTGATTCCTTCCGGATTCCTGCAGACAGCCGAAGGTGTATATTTGATCTACGGCTGAGGCTAGATTCATGCCAGTGTTGACGTTGACTCGTGGGCCCTGAATTCCTGAACTGAGGTTGACTGTTGACTTTCCCAAGGTCAACTGTGTCACCGACTCACCGTGATGTTGGGCCTCTGAAGGGCAGGTCTGGCCTTGCCTTTGGCAAATTGGCACCCCACAGCAGTAGAGGCCTTCGGGCAAGTGTTTTCATGACTTGGGCATGACCTTTGACCCCCGTTTCACGCCTTCGACCAAAAGTGACGCCTCACAGCGCACGGCTGGGGTATATTTGAGCTGAGTTATTGCAAAATATTCCTCTCTCAATTTCAACTATCACTACCTACCTACCACTACTCCTAGTAACACCTAGCTACCTCTCACAATCAAGGGGATGCATGTTGCCCCCCGCCCTAATTGGCGGCGGTGGTCTTGGAGCAGGGTGGGGGTGGCGGGGTCTGTGCGGCAGCTAACGCATACTACGTCGCATAGACCGAGCATATTGCCAGGAACATCTCGCTGCACCTGCATCCCCAGTGTCCAATTTTAGGCCTTGCTCCACTACTCACCATATACACAAAAGATAAAACACTGATGGTGGTATATCTTTCCATGTTCTAGCGGGACGAATCAGGAAGTCGCCCAATATCAGTTCAATGATATTCTCATTTCGCACATTTGTGTAATGAGAATATCATTGAACATTATCATTTCGGATGCGAATATCTTTTCGGATATTCTCAAATGTGCCAGTCCCTTTCTTTCATTAGGAAAGGGGAAGGGTGGTTGATCATACCCTTCTTTTTTCTGGCTGCCTGGCTGCCATTGTAAGGGCTGGCTGCAAGAGGGGCCAG